ATATATATATATACATATATATATATATGTATATATATATATAATTTAATGGAATTATTTACAAGGAGTTGCGGCAAAAAAAAAAAAACATGAATCAGATTTTTGATCTTTGAGTCTGTTAAGGTAAAATAAGGTGACAGTTTCATGAGCCAATCAGAGAGAAAGAGTCTATTTGCACATACAATGAAGAAAAGACACTTTCGACTTTTCGACTCCTCTCAGGCGACGTCGACTTTCGACTTTTTCTCAATGACTTTATTAAGGATTATAAACAACAAAACTAGAAGTTAAAGAGAATAAACCCAGCACAGACTGTGTTAGCAGCAGATATGCTGTTACACCATGCTTATGTTTCCTCTGGGAATCGAACCCAAGACCCTCTGCTCTCTGCTTCCGAGACAGGCGTGCTGCACAATGGATTTTTGTTTGTGTTGTAGCATCATCCGTGTTCCAAAAGTCATGAATTCATTTTCATATTTCGTTTGTATCCGTGTTAGCGTTAGACGTAAGACTCCACTCCAGTGTTGGTTCAAAGATTCAGGAGCCAAAGGTTTGACACACTGAATTAGCAAAACGGTACAAACTGAAACAAAAAGGTTAGAAATGTTAGGAAACGTTGGCAGCAAAGGAAAAAAAAAACAAAACTTGTAGCAAGTCGAACTTTGGATCTAAACGGGGGGAAAGAGGGAAGGAAACCAAAATAGAAACGTGGATAGTAAAACCTAAATGTCATACAGAGATAAATAAATACTGCTGCCTCGTGTGGTGTTCAGTGGTACATGTCAGTACCAATCTAAAATATAATATAAAACATCTCGTCCCCAATACACTGTGCTTTATTTTTCACCTTCAACATTTGCAAATAACTCCTGAACGCAGACTTTTCTTCAAGATTAAAGAAGATAAGACGCAAATAAATAAAAAAATAAAAAGGGCCATGAATAAAACTTCACGAAAAAAAACACTGTGACAAGACATTTTCAAAGTCAACGCATCAGAAGAGTCGCTTCTGTCTTCAGCGTGTGCCCCGTGTCATACGTAATCTCATGTAGGTTTTTCCTCGTTTTGATCACTGATTTCTGCTGAAGAAAACAGACAAAAGTACCTGCGTGGAACCGACGATATCTCGTTACTCTTTTTTTTTTCTTTTTTTTACTTTTTGGCACACTTTGTTCCGCTTTGAGAAACTTTCCTTACTTCTAAGCAGCTTCTAAAACAAGAAGACAGGGGTCCTCGTTAACGCAACACTGCACCGGATTCTTTTTTTTTTTTTTTTTTTGTCTTACGAGCCTCAAAGACTCGGAGGATTCTGCAGCGGAGAATTTAGCTGCTTTTTAGGTGGAGAAAAAAAAATGTCAGCGAGGATCGACTCCTCTGTGCTCGGAGTAAAGAATACTCTTTAAATACTTTGGCTGCGATTCTTCATCCTCAGTCCTGGGATCACATGAACCTCATGTCAACATCTGATTGGCTCATGCTACAGTATAGCATAACTCTAAGTGCAGTTTCTATCAGTCTAGATTGTGTAAAACCTGCCCAGTCTCTGTGTGTGTGTGTGTGTGTGTGTTTACAGACGAGGGCGGGCAGAGCAGCTGAGTCAGGAGACGTCCATGTTTTTGAATGAATTCCTGTATAACATGTAGGTCGCACCGCTGTCACTGCTGTCTCACTACAAAAAAAAAAAAAAAAGCCTTAAGTCGTTACGCTGCACTTTC